ACCTATTTTTTAACCGATTTAACTTCCAATTAATATACAGACCTGGAACTAGAAATAAAAAGGCTGACGCTCTTTCTCGAATTCCTTCTAAAACTATTACTGATGATTATCCTCCTAACAAAATAATAGGGATCCTCGCTTCTCTTCATGATGACATAAAGAATTTGAATCAGAAGGATCTTGAACTTCCCAAAACAACTATACTAACAAAAAAGGATGGTATATTTTATTTTAAAAATAGAATTTATATTCCTCCCATTCTTAGGAATAAATTACTTAAGATGGTTCATGATTCACCCCTCGCTGGACATCCTGGAATAAAGAAAACACTTGAACTAACTTCACGATATTATTGGTGGCCTCGCCAGGATAGAACCATTGAATTATATGTCAAAACATGTCCTATATGTCAAAGGTCTAAACTAGAACATAATCAACCTTTTGGATTACTACTTAACTTACCTATTCCAGAAAAACCTTGGCAATCCATTTCTATGGATTTTATCGTTGATCTTCCACCTTCTCAACATTTCACCACTATTCTTGTCGTTGTGGATCGCTTGACAAAAATGTCCCATTTCATTTCCTTAAAAAAATTACCCTCCTCTGTAGAATTGTCTAAGGTCTTTATTGACAATATTGTGAAACTTCATGGTCTTCCTGAAGAAATTATTTCTGATAGGGGACACAATTTACCTCCAAATTCTGGAAAGAGATGTGTCTCTCCCTTCAAATTCAACGCAAACTCTCTTCCGCTTATCATCCCCAAACTAATGGGCAAACAGAAAGGGTTAATCAATGTTTGGAACAATATCTTTGATGTTATTGTTCATACCTCCAAGATGACTGGACCACATGGTTACCTATGGCCGAATTTTCTTACAATAATACCATTCATTCTAGTACGAAAATGACTCCTTTCTTCTCCAACTATGGTTTTCATCCGTCTTCATTCCCCATCCAAACCATTACTTCATCCAATCCTACTGTTACATCAAAAAACGAATTTATGTCTTCTCTATTTCTCAAATTACGGGAGAATCTTCAACTCGCCCAAAATAACCAGAAAAAGTTTTTTGACAATAATAGAAGAATTCCCCCTCCTTACAAGGTAGGGGATCTTGTCTGGCTCTCTTCAAGGAATATTACCACAAGCCGTCCTTCAAAGAAATTGAGCTCTCTTTTTCTTGGTCCCTTTCAAGTAATTACTATCATTAATGATAACGTTGTTAAACTAAAACTTCCTCCAAGTTTTAAACTTCATCCAGTATTCCATGTCTCCTTGCTTAAACCACACATCCCTGATCCTTTTTATAGAGAAATAGTAACAACTCTTGAACCTATCATTGTCCAAGGTGAAGAAGAATATGAAATTCACAAAATTTTGGATTCTCGTGTCCACCGTGGCTCCTTACAATACCTTGTTAGATGGAAAGGTTATGGAATTGATGAAGACACTTGGGAAGATTCATCTAATGTACATGCTAGGAGGTTGGTTACTGCCTTTCACAAACGCTACCCCTCCAAACCGAAATAGTGCACCCTGAGGATGCCCCATGAGAAGGGGGTACTGTCAGGTATAGCATGGCATGTATTTCGTCGCCGGAACCCACTTCCGGGTTCACGGCGCTCAGCCCCGCCCCTTTTTTCTGACGCGGTCCCTCCACGATACTTAGGAAGACCGCGCCAGATTCAAAGGGCTGGATTATTCGCACAGGTGCTGCAGAAAGATCAGCTGCTCTACTTTTGATCCTACCTGCTCCACTTCTAGACCTCGGCTAGTAAAACGGATTTCTACCTTCTCCACTTCTCGACCTCGGCTTGTAAACGGATTTCTACCTTCTCCACTTCTCGACCTCGGCTTGTAAACGGATTTCTACCTTCTCCACTCCCAGACCTCGGCTTGTTAAAACGGACTTCCCCACTCTCCACTCCTAGTTCTCAGCTTGTTGAAACGGACTTCTAATTTCTCCTTCATTGGGTGAAGTAACCCTTCCAGTGCCAGAACTGCCTTTTAGTTAAGTAATACTTTTACCAAACAAGCCAATTTCTATTATTTATGTTACACAGTATCTAAAGCTCACTAAAGTGTCACTTTGTCTAATTATTCCTCTTATTCATAAGGGATTGCTACAAAGCCTAATTTTTCCTTCATGTGTATTTAAAGGTACAGTGACCATTGTTTCATATCAATATAAAAGGAGGTGAAACTTATTGTTGCTGCAATCAGGAAATTCTGCAGTTGAGTTCCAATTAAAGAAGTATTACAAAATAATTATTACAGCATGTCTGTATGTATGTGTAAGTCTGTCTGTGTATGTATGTATGTATGTGTGTCTGTCTGTGTATGTATGTCTATGCCTGTCTGTCAGTCTGTCTGTATGCATGTATGTCTATGTATGTCTGTCTGTATTCATGCATGCCTGTATGTCTGTCTGCATGTCTGCATGCATGCCTGTATGTCTGTCTGTGTATGTATGCTAGTATGTCTATGTATGTATGTCTGCATGCATGTCTGTCTGTATGTGTATGCATGCATGTATGTCTATGTATGTATGCATGTATGTCTGTATGCATGCATATATGTCTATGGATGTGTGTCTGTATGCATGTATGTATGTCTATGTATGTATATATGTGTGTCTGTATGAATGTATGTATGCATATCATTATGAACGTATGTCTGTGTGTATGGATGTCTGTATGCGTGTATGTCAGTCTGAATGTATGTATGTCTGTATGCCATTATGAATGTATGTCTGTGTATGTCTGTATGCCATTATGAATGTATGTCTGTGTATGTCTGTATGCCATTATGAATGTATGTGTGTATGGATGGCAGTGTGTGTATGTATGTCGGTGTTGTAACGGCACCCCGGGGCATAAAAGGGTTAAACCGCCATTTAGTAGATCTTCCCTTCCAGCGACACAGGCACAGCTACTGCAGAACACCAAACTCCCGAACAGAATACCAAGTAGCACTCCAAATTCCCGAACTGGAACCTCATGAATAGCTGCTAGCAGCTGAACAGGAAAAGCACCCAAGCAGCTTACACTCCTGGCAATCAGTCTCTAACAGCATACAGTAAATCCTCCCAAGAACGAGACAAAGCTCCGTGTTGAGGATCAAGCAGTGAACAGACAGAGCTGTGGGTTTATTGTTCTTATATACACATTAGTACCACCCACAGGGTTTTGGAAAACAACCAATAAACACGTACAATACACTCAGACACTCCCACACAAAATCCTCCCCTCTGCCTGTGATACAATTACCTTACACAATGAGTAATGTAATTATCACAAGCAGAGAAATACAATTTTCCCACATTATTCATAACTTGAAAAGTATGCATCACATTCACATTTTCAGAATCAGCATACTCCAAATACAAACATATGTCAAAATCATCCAAATTGGTCCAGTGGTTCAAAAGATAGATCGTAGTCCTTTGTGACCAAAGGAAGCATGGCTTTTCTGCCCAAAACCAGTTCCACAGAGTTTTCTATCCTGGAGATAATATGCGGGATATAACAGACTGAAACACATACAGTATATATATTATAATATGGGGATATAACACAGAATGAAACACATACAGTATATATATTATAATATGGGGATATAACACAGAATGAAACACATACAGTATATATATTATAATATGGGTATATAACACAGAATGAAACACATACAGTATATATATTATAATATGGAGATATAACATGGAATGAAACACATACAGTATAAATATTATAATATGGGATATTACACAGAATGAAACACATACAGTATATATATTATAATATGGGGATATAACACAGAATGAAACACATACAGTATATATATTATAATATGGGGATATAACACAGAATGAAACATACAGTATATATATTATAATATGGGGATATAACAGAATGAAACACATACAGTATATATATTATAATATGGGATATAACACAGAATGAAACACATACAGTATATATTATAATATGGGGATATAACAGAATGAAACACATACAGTATGTATATTATAATATGGGGATATAACAGAATGAAACACATACAGTATATATATTATAATATGGGGATATAACACAGAATGAAACACATACAGTATATATATTATAATATGGGATATAACATAGAATGAAACACATACAGTATATATATTATAATATAGGATATAACACAGAATGAAACACATACAGTATATATATTATAATATGGGGATATAACACAGAATGAAACACATACAGTATATATATTATAATATGGGATATAACAGAGAATGAAACACATACAGTATATATATATTACAATATGGGATATAACATAGAATGAAACACATACAGTATATATTATAATATGGGATATAACAGAGAATGAAACACATACAGTATATATATTATAATATGGGATATAACATAGAATGAAACACATACAGTATATATATTATAATATAGGATATAACACAGAATGAAACACATACAGTATATATATTATAATATGGGGATATAACACAGAATGAAACACATACAGTATATATATTATAATATGGGATATAACAGAGAATGAAACACATACAGTATATATATTATAATATAGGATATAACACAGAATGAAACACATACAGTATATATTATAATATGGGATATAACAGAGAATGAAACACATACAGTATATATATTATAATATGGGATATAACATAGAATGAAACACATACAGTATATATATTATAATATGGGATATAACAGAGAATGAAACACATACAGTATATATATTATAATATGGGATATAACACAGAATGAAACACATACAGTATATATATTATAATATGAGGCTTTAACAGAATACATTTTGGTAACCTGGTAACAGCTGATCTGCTGCGTATTAATTTTTTCATTGGACAGATTATGAAGCTGCATCCAATCAGCACATTTCAGACTGTCAGGCTGGGAGTTAGTTACAGTATCAGTTATTAATACTCAGTTACACTATGAAGGCTCCCCTCCTCCTGCTGCTCATTGCTGAGGTCTCTGGGGTGTATTGCAGTGAGTATAGACTGAATGATATATAGACTGTGTAATATATAGACTGAATCATATATAGATTGCATTGGTAGAGTAAAAGGTTAGGGTTCCTGACATATAGTGTCACTCTCTCTCTCTGACACGTGTCTGTCTCAGGTCACTCTCTCTGACATGTGTCCGTCTCAGGTCTCTCTCTCTCTGACATGTGTCTGTCTGTCTCAGGTCACTCTCTCTCTCTCTGACATGTGTCTGTCTGTCTCAGGTCACTCTCTCTCTCTGACATGTGTCTGTTTGTCTCAGGTCACTCTCTCTGACATGTGTCTGTCTGTCTGTCTCATTTCACTCTCTCTGACATGTGTCTGTCTCAGGTCACTCTCTCTCTGACATGTGTCTGTCTATCTGTCTCAGGTCTCTCTCTCTGACATGTGTCTGTCTGTCTCAGGTCACTCTCTCTCTGACATGTGTCTGTCTGTCTCAGGTCACTCTCTCTCTGACATGTGTCTGTTTCAGATCTCTCTCTCTCTGACATGTGTCTGTCTGTCTCAGGTCTCTCTCTCTCTCTCTGACATGTGTCTGTCTGTCTCAGGTCTCTCTCTCTCTGACATGTGTCTGTCTGTCTCAGGTCTCTCTCTCTGATATGTGTCTGTCTGTCTCAGGTCTCTCTCTCTCTCTCTGACATGTGTCTGTCTGTCTCAGGTCTCTCTCTTTGGCATGTGGTTGTCTGTCTCAGGTCTCTCTCTCTGACATGTGTCTGTCTGTCTCAGGTCACTCTCTCTCTCTGACATGTGTCTGTCTGTCTCACGTCTCTCTCTCTCTTTGACATGTGTCTGTCTGTCTCATGTCACTCTCTGACATGTGTCTGTCTGTCTCAGGTCTCTCTCTCTCTCTGACATGTGTCTGTCTGTCTCAGGTCTCTCTCTCTCTCTGACATGTGTCTGTCTCAGGTCTCTCTCTCTCTGACATATGTCTGTCTGTCTCAGGTCACTCTCTCTCTCTGACATGTGTTTGTCTGTCTCAGGTCACTCTCTCTCTCTCTCTCTGACATGTGTCTGTCTGTCTCTGGTCTCTCTCTCTCTCTCTCTCTGACATGTGTCTGTCTGTCTCTGGTCTCTCTCTCTCTCTCTCTCTGACATGTGTGTGTTTGTCTGTCTCAGGCCACTCTCTCTCTCTCTGACATGTGTTTGTCTGTCTCAGGTCACTCTCTCTCTCTCTCTCTGACATGTGTCTGTCTGTCTCAGGTCACTCTCTATCTCTGACATGTGTCTGTCTGTCTCAGGTCACTCTCTCTCTGACATGTGTCTGTTTCAGATCTCTCTCTCTCTGACATGTGTCTGTCTGTCTCAGGTCTCTCTCTCTGACATGTGTCTGTCTATCTCAGGTCTCTCTCTCTCTGACATGTGTCTGTCTGTCTCAGGTCTTTCTCTCTGACGTGTCTGTCTGTCTCAGGTCACTCTCTCTCTCTCTCTCTCTGATGTGTGTCTGTCTCAGGTCACTCTCTCTCTCTGACATGTGTCTGTCTGTCTCAGGTCACTCTCTCTCTCTGATGTGTGTCTGTCTGTCTCAGGTCACTCTCTCTCTCTGACATGTGTCTGTCTGTCTCAGGTCACTCTCTCCAGTATTATCACACAGCGGTCTCAGTTCCCGGATATGGTCTGCCAGAATATATATCGGTGGGTTTTGTGGATGGAATACAGATTACAAAATACAGCAGTGACATCGGCCGGGTTGTTCCTGTTGCTCAGTGGATGCAGAAAGTGGCACCTGATTACTGGGAGAGAAATTCAAAGATCGGCAAAGTCAATGAGGCTGTATTCAAACAGGACATAATCATATTAAGGGAACGCTTCAACCAGACAGGAGGTGAGACACACTGTATATATATATTTTATATATATATATATATATATACACACACACACACACACACTGGCACACATAAGGTTTGAATGTTATTTAAATGATACATTAAATGGACACTATAGTCACTAGAACAACTACAGCTTATTGCATTTGTTCTGGTGAGTAGAATTATTACCTTCAGGGCCCCGGTGCAAAAATTGATCCATGGCCCCCCCCCCCCAGCGCTTACTCTGCGCAGGCCGGGGCCGCATCACATGGCAGCGGGCACCTGGACCCCTGCGACCAAGGTATGTACGCCAGTGCATTTAGATCCACACACTTAAAGGACCACTACAGACACCAAGATAACATCCGCTCAATGAAGTGGTCTGGGTGCCAGGTCCCTCTAGTTTTAACCCTGCAGCTGAAAACATAGCAGTTACAGATAATCTGCTATGTTTCACTGAGGGTTAATCCAGCCTCTATCCGCTAGAGGAGCTTCCGCGATTCTCACTGTGAAAATCACAGTGAGAAGACACTGAACGTCCATAGGAAAGCATTGAGTAATGCTTTCCTATGGGCTGTTTGAATGCGCGTGCAGCTCTTGCCGCGCATTTGGAGCTGAGAGGCGGAGGGATCCCCAGCGCCAAGGGAGTCCGGCGCTGGAGAAAGGTTAGTGCTGAAGACACACACACTCTCACGAACAGACGCATACACACTAGCTAACAGACACATACATTTACTGACAGAGACACACTCAGCTACAGACTCACAAACACTCAGTAACAGACACACACAAACACTCAGTAACAGACACACACAGTAACACACTCACTGGCAGACACACACACTAACACACACACACACTAACACTAGCAGACACACACTCAATAACAGACACACTCACTGACACTCACTGGCAGACACACACACTAACGCTAACACACTCACACACATGTTTTTTTTTTTTTTTTAAATGTAATCCTAATCCTCCCAGCCTCCTTACCTTTTGGAGAGCTGAGGGGATTCCCTGGGGTCCAGTGGTGTCACCCGGCGGCCGGTCCTGCGGGTGTGCGAGTTAGCACTCTCCCCTGAGTGCTCCCTCTTCAGCTCCCTCGTGCACCGCACTGGTACCGGTGCCGGAAGATTACGTCATCTTCCGGCTCCGGTATCAGTGCGGTGCGCGAGGGAGCTGAAGAGGAAGCACTCAGGGGAGAGTGCTCCCTCACACGTCCGCAGGACCGGCCGTCGGGTGACAGCACTGGACCCCAGGAATCCCCTCAGCTCTCCAAAAGGTAAGGCCGGCTCCTGGGCCCCCCAGGAGAAGAGGCTGGCCACAGTGGGTACATACCGGGTTGCAGGGCGGCCGGGCCCCGTGGTGGGCCGGGCCCGGTCGCAGCCGCGACCCCGGTATGTACGCCACTGCCTTCAAGCTTTTTGCTGTAAACAATGTCTTTTCAGAGAAAATGCAGTGTTTACATTACAGCCTAGTGATAACTACTTCACTGGCCACTCCTCAGATGGCTGTTAGAGATCCTTCCTGGGTCATGACTGCCTAAAATGCATCCAAACATTCAGTATCTCCACCCTCTGCATGCAGACACTGAGGAGATGCTAATTGGCCAGGGCTGTGTTTGAATCATGCTGGCTCTGCCCCTGATCTGCCTCTTTGTCAGTCTCAGCCAATCCTATGGGGAAGCAGAGTGATTGGACCAGGCTACCACTTCTGATGATGTTAGACGAAGTTCACAGGCAGAGGCAGCAGCTTCAGACTTGAATACAAGTAAGATTTTACTATCTTTAGGGAGGCAAAGGGGGCCAAGGGGGCTAGATAGTGGTTTTAACACTATAGGGTGAGGAATACATGTTTGTTTGCTCCTTTAAATATAATAAAACACAACACAATCTCTATTAAATTGTTAATTTTGATTAACACTAACATTTGGAGAATGGCGATGAACCTTTATTATTTATTTATAAAATATTTTACCCGGAAAGATACATTGAGATTTCTCTTGTTTTCAAGTATGTCACACTTCCAATTTTAAACATAAATATCCTTTAATAATAATAAACCATAACTTTTAACTAAACCAAAATTAACCACTAACCTTCCAAGGCCTCGCCCCTAAAGCCAGGAGCCAAAAATATATATTTTTAATCAATTAAACCAAATCCACCCTCCTGTGATGCACAGGAGGATGACTTATATCCCAAAGCCACCGAGATCTGCGATACAAGACTCGGTGGCTCCCCAAAGCCCACAGCCATCTCCTCCTTAGATTGAATTTCTAAATTTAATATGTCCAAACTTATATCGCACAAATGAACTGCGTCATCCATATAAAATCCTGTGCAGCTGTCCTACACGTCTATGTGCCTATGAGAAGACATTCCTAATTCTGGCAAGAACATTTCCAACAATCTATTTAGTTTTCTACACAACCTCTCTAATGGTTTCATATAGCTCACTTTTAGCCAGCAATGATTTGGTATGATCTTCAACCAAATAAAACCAACCGCAGCCAACATCTTATGCCGTAAAAGCCATATCCATCTTAATTTCCTGTAATAAATTCACTGATTTCGTTAACACAATGTCATTTCCTCCCAAATTAACCACTAGAACATCTGGGTAAGGAAAAAAACAAATAATTGTGACCATATTGCACCACGCATTCCTTTTCCAAAATATTTTAACTGTAGTGCTCTCTAAACCAAAGTATGTTCCCTCTTCTGGGCCCATATTAAAAAAAGGATGACCAATAACCCAACCAACCATCGGCTTCTTAATATCTAGCAAGAGAGAAAGATATTAAAGGGACACTATAGTCACCAGAACAACTACAGCTTATTGAATTTGTTCTGGTGAGTAGAATCATTACCTTAAAGGACCACTATAGGCACCCAGACCACTTCAGCTTAATGAAGTGGTCTGGGTGCCAGGTCCAGCTAGGTTTAACCCTTTTTTTCATAAACATAGCAGTTTCAGGGAAACTGCTATGTTTACCTATGGGTTAATCCAGCCTCTAGTGGCTGTCTCATTGAAGGCCTATGGACTGGCCTATGGACTGGCTGAATGCGCGGGCGGCTCGTGCCGCACATGCGCATTCAGCCAAGGAGGAGGAGAGTCCCCCGCCCGGCGCTGGAGAAAGAGGTCAATTTAACCCCTTCCACCCCCTAGAGCTGGCAGGAGGGGGAGCCCTGAGGGTGGGGGCAGGAGTATGTTTTCCTGGCACTATAGTGGTCCTTTAAGGCTTTTTGCTGTAAACACTGTCTTTTCAGAGAAAATGCAGTGTTTACATTACAGCCTAGTGATAACTTCACTGGCCACTCCTCAGATGGCTGTTAGAGATCCTTCCTGGGTCATGGCTGCCTAAAATGCATCCTAACATTCAGTATCTCCTCCCTCTGCATGCAGACACTGAACTTTCCTCATAGAGATTCATTGATTTAGTTCATCTCTATGAGGAGATGCTGATTGGCCAGGGCTGTGTTTGAATCATGCTCGCTCTGCCCCTGATCTGCCTCTTTGTCAGTCTCAGCCAATCCTATGGGGAAGCATTGTGATTGGATCAGGCTACCACTTCTGATGATGTCAGCAGGCAGTGGGCAGGTCTAAAGGAAACAGGCACAAAGCCTGCAGCTGCATACTTGAATACAAGTAAGATTTACTATATGTAGGACAGGCATGAAGGGACCAAGGTGGCTAGATGTTGGTTTAACCCTATAGGGTCAGGAATACATGTTTGTGTTCCTGACCCTATAGTGCTCCTTTAACCCCTTAAGGACCAAACTTCTGGAATAAAAGGGAATCATGACATGTCACACATGTCATGTGTCCTTAAGGGGTTAATAAAAAAAAATAACAACATTAAATCGTATAAATAACTTCAAATTAAAATAATTACCAAATTCTAAGTTACACTATTCTAAAAGAGTGTGATGAGTAACACTCTTTTCCCAAACCCAATTTATTTAAACATATTTTAAAAACCTTTATAAATTGAAACTTAGTTAATGGTCACTCCACACCAGGACCGTCTTTAATATTGATTGGGCTCTGGGCAAGCATTTGCTTGGGCCCCCTGGACCCACTCCCTGGCATGCAATCATGCCTCCACCCCAACGCAGTGGTGGAGCTAAAGTAAAAAGAGCCCTGGTGCAAGAATTTCATTGGGACCCCCAATTGCACGGTTGGAAAGAGGGTAGAATCCTATCTGTCGTGCAACTCCAACAATGCATTGACAGCTGGGACTCTACCAATTTCCCATGCTTGCAGGGCTGCCTTTAGCACTTTGTTTGTGTGTTTGAATGTAAGCATGTTTTTGTATGGAGTATGTTTGTGTGAATGTGTTTGTATGTGGTGTTAGAGTTTGAATGCAAGTGTGCATTTAAGTGTAGTGCTGGTTTTTGAATGTAGGGGTTTGTTTATATATAATTTTGGTGTTTAACACAGAGGTGTGTATTTGTATGTAGTGTTGACGTTTCAATGCAGGAGTGTGTTGGTATGTAGTGTTGAAGTTTGAATGGAGGGGTGTATTTGTATTTAATGTTGGTGCTCAGATGTTCAGACACACAGTTAAACACACTGGCACATATGCAGATTCACACTGATTACATACAGATATGCACACAGATACACAGACAGACACATACAGATACACAGACAGATAAAATGAGACATACTGACACACACAAATACATACAATGATAGACATACTGACACACACACTCACACAAACTGTCACACAGGCACATACAATGACAAACATACTGACACACAGATACATATACTGACACACACACAGGCACAAACACTGATAGACATACTGACACACACAGTATGTGTGTGTATAAGTATGTCTGTATATGTGCATGTGTGTGTGTCAGTAAGTCTATCAGTGTATGTGCCTGTGTGTGTGTGTCAGAATGTCTGTCAGTGTATGTATCTGTGTGTCAGTATGTTTGTCATTGTATGTGCCTGTGTGTGTCCGTATGTCTGTATATAGTATGTTTGT